AGGAGACAACAGATAAGGAGGAAAGAAATTAATTAAGAGTGGTTTATCAATTCTTTTTTAGTAAATCATATAATTTAGTTAGACAATAAAAGATAGCATTTTTTTATATAATTCCTTTCCTTCGTCTCGAAATTGAAATTTGAGATATCTTAACTCAAGGAGAAAATTTGTTATAAGTTCTATCTTCACTTACAATACTTTTCCTATAATCACTATAATGTTAAAAACAATTTTGTACGTTTGATAATGTGGACCTGCCGTCTGTTTTGTTCATACTGAAAGAAATACATTGTTTATAAAGAAATTAAACAAAAATATTTGGAGGGCTCTTGCAAAATGAATTGACATTGAAATGTCATCCATCAAACAACTGATCAGATCATATATAAAACTTAAAAAGGACTAATAAAAGATAGCAAAATTTTAAATCCGAATTCCAGCCACGATCATCTACAACTGAACACCATTAATTTAAATAATTAAAGTTGAATTAAATTCATAATCCTTTGTTTCTATATAAAAAAAATTACTATTAGACTGCTTATGTTATTAGTGTTTTTGATGATATGTTAGGCATCATACTTAGTAATTTTAACATTAATTAATTTCAACATCTTGTCGTCACTTGCCGTCGTATGTCTTTGGGTTGATCTAGTGGAAAGAGAATTGATTCATTCATAAGTTTCTAATTAAGAACGTGGTTGATACCAACAATTTGGTAAAAGAATCATACCAGATACCTCTAAGTTGACCTGGAACGTATCTAAAATCCCAGCCCCCGGTATTGGAAATTGGAACGTTGTTAATACGAACTTTCCTTACATTGAACCACTTTTGAAAAGATAATAGTGACTGAAAATGACTGCATTATTAGAGCAATCTAGAACCAAATTAATAAAATAAAATAAGTTCTTATCTTGTTGGTAAGTTTAGAATTTAAATCTTATAATCAGTATTTAAAAATTTTAATTTTTTTAAATATATTAAATTAATCTAAAGATATATTCTTAAAATTGTCTTTAAAAAATTTCTCAAATTCTATCTAAGTTGACTTAAAAATACTTTAACTATAAATTTTTTTAAAAATAAAAAATAAAATAATTCATGCTTATCAATTCTATTCTTAAACAAGCAAAGCAAAACAAAACTCAACCTTCAAAAATTTTATAAAAATCCTCTCAAAACAATCGCACAAACTAGCAGAAACCCTTGTTAATAACCCAACAACCACCGATAAATCCAAAACTAAGAAAAATTTGTCTCTCGTAATCGTGGGCCTATCTCTACCATCACAATCAAAACCCATATATCCACTTATTGGACCCATTTCTAAGCCCAGAAAACAGTTAAATTTTCGGAACCCCAATCTTTCTCTCCAGCCAGGCATTTGTTTTTTTTTTTTTTTTTTATAATAAACAGTATTAAATTGTAAAATATATACCATTAAATGAAAAAGCAACCCATTGACAGTCATTATTTTGAGTGAAAAAAATTTAATTTTTTTAATTAAAATCTGAAATTTACATTTTATAAATAAAAAGATAAATATAGAGAGAACTTTTTTTTTCTCATAGGATTTGTTTCGGTTCGTAAAGAGGGTGTTAGAAAAAAAAAATAAGGATCGGCCCAGATGTAGCAATGCAATATAAACATCTAACTAGGGGTGTTCGCGGGGTGGTTTGGTTCGGATTTTAATATTTTTTAATCCAATCCAATTTAATCGGTTAGTAAAATTTTTAAACCAATCCAATCCACTATTATATGATAATCAAACCAATTCAATTTAAATCGGATCGGTGTGGTTCGGTCAGATTGATCGGTTTTTAACACTATTAAATATATGAGATAATATAAATAAATTTAACATTAAGTAAAAAAACATAAATATAAAATACATTAATATCCAAATAAATAGAAACATAATTTAAAAAAGTACAAATTAAAAACAAATTCTTATACTCTTTTACAATTGTAAAAATTGAAAGATTTAAAAATTATAAACAAATTCTTAAATTTTTATCTTGATCTCCAAGAATACCCAAAAGAGGGCTGCCACCAGCTTCCCAAATTCTTTTAATTCTGAATTTGGATGAATATTTATAAGGTTTTAGAAACCCTAATTGAAATAGAAGTAGGATTTGAAAAGAATAAGAAACTTGAATGTTCGACGCTGAACGTATAATGCTAACACTCTGAATTACGTATCGACACAAAACAAGAAATAGAAAGTTTGATTTTGGACTATTAACTCATGATGTCGACACCCATATTATGTGTTTAAGAATAAGCCCAGCAAAACCCATATTATGTGTTTAAAAATAAACCCAGCAAAATGAAGATGACAACCTAGACAACAACC